AAGAACAACCGCTACACCCCGCCACTGATAAGCACCGGCCCGGGGATGTTCCATCGCCGCAATCTCCCGCGACTGTAGGCCATTTCGTCACGAAACGCGACCACGAAAAGCTTCACTTAAGCACCATACACGAATTAGACACGTTATCACACCCTCAAGCCGTAATCGATTCGCAATCCTCCCGCATTTCGCGCAAATTTGTTCTCTCGAACATATCAACTTCATCTCCCAAGACTGTGCACATTGTCCTTGCACAGTCGCCCGCCACCTGCCCACGACCTCCCGTTCCACAGCTTTATGCAACATTGGCCGACAGAGTCTTCAGAAACGCAACATCAACAAGATAACCCCTCGGACACCACTACCTCAGTCCAGCATGGCTTTTGTTCGCGCCAGCAGCCCAACGGCGTCGCTGTCCTTCGCCGCGAAGAGACAGGCAGTGCATCTCCAAGATCTGTTCCAGACGGAGGGCGCCGTGACTCATTCGACGCCGTCAGCGCTGCCCAGCTCGACGAGAAGCTTCGCCGGCTGAGTTTTGACGATTCAGCTTCTGTTGATAGCCATTCAGCCGTCGCTGGCCAGCGAGTGATTGATTACGAAAATGCGCAAACCCCGTCTACTCCCCGTCAAGCTTTGGGCTTCAAGGTCATCAAGCGATCTGAGAATCGACCCGATAGCGTGCAGTTGACAGACTTTCCAAATGGTATGCAGGACAAGACAGAGGATCGCAGTTGAACCCCCGCTAACGCTATGGTTGTAGAGTTGTTGACCCACGTCCTATCTCACCTACATCCCGATTCGCACTCGGCGATAGCTTTGGTGTCGAAGCGTTTCTACTCGCTCGTTACGACGCCCCATGCGTGGCGAATGGCCTTTTTACGATTCTTCCCGGGTCACGATAGTCTGACTACAAAATCTGGCGAGCAGAATCGCGCAGGGCCCTTGGACCATGACTCTTTCGAATTCGTTCGCTCAGAGTCCCGCTACTTTTCTCGCTTGACTTCTCTTGCGACGTGGCGAAGTGAATATCTCCTACGAACCCGTCTTTTGAGGGGCCTCATCAGAGGTAAACCAGGTGCTAAGCCTGGCGGCATTGGAGCATCTGGCCGAAGCAGTAAGAAGACAAGCGCTGTCTTGACCTACAACTCGAAGCTGCCCTGGGCTGTGACCCACATCCATGCCGACTTCACTGTCAAGAAGGCTCCCCGGGTTATTCACGGCACTGCCGACCTTGGTGCCGCGACCTTGAGTGATTCTTTTATTGGCAAGGTGGAGAAATGGGGATTCCGAGACCCTTTCACTATTCTACAGCTGGACGAGGTGTTTCCCAATCTTGAGCCATATGGTGCTGGCGATGGACCCGCCGCTTGCCCAAACGTCATGGATGTCAGCCAGCCCTATGGCATGCTCTCCGGCGAAGGCTTTCCAGGCGGACGTGCCTACTACCGCCCGATCAATGAGATGCATGGTCGGTATCTTGGTAGCGACACTGGCGTAATCGACACCTACCCCGATATTCCCAAGATCCCTGAACTATCAGAAGCGATTTCGGCCGTTTGGGTTGCTAAATCCACTGCTGTACCCAACATTACGCACTCCACGGTCGGGATCATCACCGGCTCAACTCTCGGAATCGTCACTACGTATGCGCTCCACGGAGACGGAAGTGGCCCGCGGCATCCCAACGGCGAGATGACAGCGCGATGGGTGCTCAGCCCCGGTGTTCCGATCGTCTCAATCAAAGTCGACGATCAGTATACCCAGAAGCGCAAGACTGCCCAGCGCGTATGGGCTGTGGCTCTTAATGCCCTGGGAGAGGTGTTCTACCTGGTCGACGTGCCGAAGACAAGTCTGGAGCGATCTAAAGGCGAAGATGTCACCAAGAACGCATGGTTCGCCGGGCGCTCAGTCTACTGGCGGCTCATCGACGACTCCCGTCGCCAGGCTCGGCCCGATGAGTTCGACAAGCATGCTCTCCGAGGTGCTTATTCGCCTCGATCTCCCGCAGACGCGATGAACTTGAGTAAAGAGCAACTCGTCGCGGAAGCCCGTGAGATTGAAAAATTCCTCCGTTACAAGCCGTCACATTTCCGGAAGGTCTGTGATGGCTGGGACATGCGAAGAAGACTGGAGGTCGACTTTGCGAACGATGACGCCGGCGGCGCCGGGGAGGTCATTGTCTCTATTCATTGCGGGCTGGAGGAGACACATCCCCCGAGCGTCACTCGCTATGCCCGAGCCATGTCCCAAACGCCGCGACAGACTCCAGACACTGTGGAAGATACTGCTGCAGTCTATCAGGATGTCCCTCCAGTGCAGCAGTCAATATTTGGATCGGGAAGAGACTACAAGCATGAGTCTCAGTCCCAGCCCAAGCCTACCAAGGCTGTGGTTAAGGGCGATGTGACACCCATCTCGTCCGGCTCGCTAACGCCCCAGGCAAAGCTCAATTCCATGGATGAATGGGCCGTTGCTACAATGTCACTCGGCAACTATGGAGGTTCAGAGATCACTGCGTCGGCTCTTGATTTGTCGTCACACGCACTTCTCACATTAACGGAAGACCCTCTGCAATTTGGGTCCAGACCTGCTGCCACTCCTACAATGACACCACAGACTGCCGAATCGTCGACAGAAATTCCTGGTCGGCGAACCCGTATGCTGGCTGTCGGAACCAAGGACGGATCAGTTGTTGTCTGGAACTGTCGCGAGCAGCGCAGTATGTCCACCATCTCCCCTCTTCGCATCATTCAAACAGAGTCTCCCGAGATCAGTTGCCTGGCCTTGACGGCTTTGTATCTGGTACACGGCGGAAATGATGGCTTGGTACAAGCATGGGACCCGCTGGCATCTTCGCTCGAGCCGCTCCGTACACTCAATGGACGTTCCAACGGTCGAGTACCCCGTCACATGATGACGATGAACCCTGCGCTCCCGATCGATACATACTCAGCTGCTCGAGCCATCTACCTCGACCCTGATCCTACTGTGTTGCGTGGTATTACGTCTTTCGGGGCCTTCCTGCGTTACTGGTCTTACAGCGCCACTCACCAGCCACCTGGTCGTAAACGTCGGCTTCGACACGCCGATGTTCACGGCCGCCTTGCTACTAGGCGCCAGGGCGGGAATGTTTCTGGCTACATTGCCGCAGAGACTGCAGAGCTTCGGCGAGAGGAGGAACAGGACATTAAAGAAGAAGCCTGGTTGCGCAACAGATTTGGCGTTGGCGCTTTTGGCGACTTGACCGAGGAGGAGGCTCTCCAATATGCGGAAATGATATCCCAGGAGACACTGCTGCTCGAGGAGCAGCGTCGCACTAGCGCCAGCGACACTGGTTCTGCCGCCGATGCTAGCTTCGACACGGTATCGTCCTTCAGCGAAAGTACCGTGGACACAGTTACACCGGAGCCCAGTATTACTGGCTTTACCCCCCCGCCTCCCGTCGTTGAGGAAGAAGACGAGTACGAACAGCAGCTCCAGCAAGCTCTTCGACTTTCTCTGATGGAGGCTACCGACGATGTGGCTCAGTCTCCTCGCAAGAACAGCTCCAGTGATTTCGAGTTTGCCATCAAGTACAAGTCCAAACCGGCGAAGAAGACGACAAAGAGAACACCCTCCATGTCTCCCCCGGCAACTTACAAGCCTATCGCTGGCGCCAAAGCAGGTTCTTCCAGCAAAGCCACGCCTAGGGACGACGACCTTGAGTTGGCTCTCTTGCTCAGTAGTGCTGGATCCGCGAGCCACCCTGCACCACGAGATGATGATTTGGAGCTGGCTTTGCGGCTGAGTCTGCAAGAGAATGGTGCCGGCGATTTCTCTAGCCTCGGTATCCAGCAGGAGCAAGAGGAGTTTCCCATGCTGGAGACTCGCGGGAAGGGCAAGGGCAAGATGTAAAGGCGGCAGTGCCTATTCGCCGCCGTAGTCCAGTTGTCTGATTGAATTGTTATTTTTGTACTCTGCCATTCTGTCTCCTGCTCGACTGCGGATAATGCTTCTGATACACTTCTTCTTCATCGCACGCGGGGTTTAGACTCGACGCTTTGAGCCACTGGCATTACCCTAGGGTACTCTCAATCGAGAGTCGTTGAAATATACACTTTGAACTGCGTTAAACCAAATTCGCCTACTTGTAGGCACAAGGTTTGCCACCAATTGCTGACGGGATCTGCTTGCAAAGGGTTGACACATTCACATTAAGAAGTATAGGAGTATTCCCCAGTGCAGACACAATCTCAATACAAGCGATGACCACCTGCCACAGGATCTCCTTCGCCGGCCTGGCTAACCAGAGCCCATAGAAACAAGGTGCATGCCACATGCCCCCATCGCCGTGGCCTCATTCTAGGTGTACGCAGCGAAGCCTTGTATGCCCTGTATGTCTAGATCTCTCCACAACAGGCTGTTCTCGCCTACCCTCACGACACCATCATCGGCCCAGCAATGACTGACCTCTTCTTGCCCATGTGCCAATCGAGAAGTCAACTCGCACGCGCGGGAGTAGCTATGCGGCATATCATTCTGACTGCAAGTGATCTCAGTTCCTGTTACTGCTCCTTGATCCGGTGCCTTTCCGCTCGCGGGCCATGTCTAGCGGGCGGGAGACCCCGAGTATCTAGACGATGCCTAGCGGCGGTCTGCAGCTAGAAGGACGGAGATGTACGTCTTCAGTGGTCACCCAGAGATGAAACTTCTCAGCAGTCGATTCTCATCCCGATGACGAGTGACTTCGACTCATTTGCAGATCCCGAGGTATGACGTGAGGGATCCGGCATGATGTTGCAGCTCCCGAGTCGAGTATGATTCCTCGCCTCGATGATGGCTTCTTCGTTGAATTGTTAGCTTCCACTTTTGATATATCCTGCCTGTATCTTGTGCAGGATCATGTTCGAGCTGAACGTGACGTCCATGAAGGGTCTTCATTGCCTACCAACTCAATATGTGCCAAGGCGGAGTTAGTCTCAACGGATGGATAACAGTCTTGCCGTGATGCTCGTCACAATCTACGCCAAAAGCTCGCCGCAACTCGCATTTCCTTTGACATCTGCGGCGGCTTCAACACCCTCCAAACCCTCAAGGACGACGGCGCTTGTGCGGACCAGGCCGAGGTCGTTGCTAAGGCTATCATCCGGCATGAGGACATGAGCGCCGACGGTGCCAGCACCTACATCGATCAGCCGATTCATTTCGCGACGCTGTATAACAACCTTTGTAGGCATTCGCTTACAAATGGGTTTGAGAGAATGACCCATGGGAGCACGCGGAGGAAGATCAATGAGGCGTGGCCGAGGCTTGGTTGGTTTTTTTTTGGTTGCTGGGACTGGGAAGAGGGAGGAGGGGGTGAGGGCTCGGTGCCATTCTCCGCATGTTTTTGATTTGGATAAAGAAACTGAGGGGAACAACCTAATGAGGGGAGTAGATGGTGCGGTCGTTGAGTATAGTTGAATAATCGAGGTAGATCCTTGAGCAATGGTGTGCCATGATGGTGTCCAAGAACCAGGTCTGGCCGCAGTAAAGGGGTACATAACAGACTTATGACAACAAAGGATACCTGTTCAACAAGCCACATCGCTACTTATCACTTGGCTCTTCCCACGTCATTGTCTTCGAATATCATTCATAACGTGTTCCTCCTGCTTTGGTGAGAAAGATAGGACACCTCCATCACCTATGGACGATTTAAGAATCAATCGGAAGTGTGGTGTGCATGTCACCGGCCGAAGAATCGTCCGACAGGAACAATCATTTAGGCGCCTACCTTACCGGAGCTTCACCGCCATCGGATGATCACAGAACACTCTGAAAGGCTTCTTCAAGGAAAAAGCCGTGTTCGTGGGTTTCCCTTGGCTTACGTTCATGTCGGTGCGAGAGCACTTGACAGAAACATCCAGATGAAGGTGGATGACTATTATCCAGGGAGCTCACCCATCCAACTCCTCTGTGAACTCTCGAATTACGTCCTCATTTCAGTGTGCATGTAAATTCTTTGACGCTACTTTTAATGGTTTTCTAGCTTTTAGCTTTCACTGAAAAAAAGCGAGTGGAGTTAGGCAATCTACACTGCCGGTGAGATATGACCCGGGTACTGATGAGGCATCATTCCTTGAAGATGGAGCTGGAATGACTTTAGGAACATGCTTCTAATCCGTTTCATTTTGAGGGTGGTCATGGCTGGGTGGTATTATTTGAGATGGATACGAACATCAGCACTCTCGCTCTTTCAATGTAGAGCAAGAAGCAAGCTTGAGACCACAGAATGAAGGCCTTGAATGCTTTATCAGTGGGTATCTCCAATGTAACATCACTTTTGCCCCTCATTTCCACATGATTCCTCTACCGCACCAAAGCCATGGCCCCAGTTTGCTGTGTAGACAAAGAACACTTCTTAGCTATGAGCCCATGTTTGCAGCAGTCAAAGGGCCTTACCATGAACATTCACCCGGACGCCTTTGCAGTAGTTTCATGGTCTATGCGTGTTTGAATCTAAAATTCCAAGTAAATTCGGTGTGCTTGCTTGTTTCCATTTCGTGGATGATGGTCATCTTTAGGTAACCAGATGCGCCGCACGAACATCAAAGAGCCGCAGTGTGTATTGTACCTGACAGATCCCTCCCTTAGACTTTTCAGATCCACTTACAAACTTTCTCTATCTTTGTTCATGGAACCGCCTTATTCCGCTACCACCGCTCCAGTTCAGCTGATCTAGAATAGCTGTCAACTGTAGACCCTATTCCACAATACCTTGCTCTTAAGGTTCTAGGTTATCATACGATCGACTATAAGGACCTACGAATAACCGCGGTCCATCTTCTGTCGTTGAGATTCTGCCGCACGCGCTTTGAACTCATTATCTCAGATCGTCTACACACAGCCGCTACATCCACGCCCTACAACACTACTCCACACGACAGAACTGAACCACATCTACTCATTTCAGCACAACAGCTTGATCAAGAGCAAGGAAGAGCAACAAAAAGTACAAGAACTCCAAGTATAGCAGCTATAAGTCACCAAAAAAGGAAAGGGATAATCACGTCTCCTTCTCCCGCTTATCACTCTCTTACAACCTTGAAAGTCACTCGAGCGACGAAGACATGGCTGGCCCATCAACCTTAGAATTGGACAGACTTTACGACAGAATAGACGACCTTAACGCGGATATTGAAGATGCGCGGAAGGATATGGAGGAAATTAAAGCTAGAATGGAGCGGCTTGAGAAGCAATTGAAGGCGGCGGAGGAAGAAAAGGAACAGTTAGAACTGGCACAGAAGAAAGAATGAAACAGCACATTGGGCAGGAAGCAAATCATTCTGACAGAAAGCCAGGGCATGGTCAGTCAATTCGCTTCTCCACGGCCTGCATTCAAGTTGTCTTGGCCAAAAGAAATCTAGGCCGCTGGGTATCTAGTCTTTATAGCGTGCGCGTACATCAAGTTATTTAGATCTATGCGTTTGTCATGACTACCTTAGACAGTATTTACCGGCATACATCTCTCATAACGCAGTCATTACCCTCAATGACAGTCATTACCTTCACTGAGCTGAAATTTATGCTGTGAAGAAGAAGAAGCGTTTGTATCAGGCGGTTATGCGTCTATGACGATTGACAGGTACACCATGGACATTCTCTTGATTGCTTTGATGGCAATATAGCCGCCTCCGTGTAACCCCAAGATCCATTGGAAAGCTTTTATGAACGAGAATAGACGGTCATCTGGGTCACTTGGGCAAAGGCTGTTCATCTCTGAATAGCACTGTTTTACCGACCTAAATAACAGACGCAAAACGGCGCAGTAAACCTCGAACACTACGCTTGAGGGAATTCTCCTTCACTCTTTATCCTCTGAGGCAACTCCATCTGTCATCGTTTGTCGAATTATCTTGACGGTACAACCACTGAATTCCGAGTCTTATTCGCTTATGGGAGCTTGCCTTCCCCTCCCAGCTGCTCATTCATGATGTTTACCTTGCTGCGAGGTTCCAGGTCTTTAAATTGCCGATTATAAGACCGAGCGTCCGGCCCCGTCCTCCTTGTTCCTATTCACACACTCTCTTCCGAAAAAGTATCATCCTTTTGCTTCGAATCTTCTGCACAGAGACAACGCTATCTTGACACTGCACTTGATGCCACATCTTCTTTACGCTCCAGATTTGGACAAGAGTCTCTAACCACCCGCCAACGTCAAGAGCCCCTGACTACTCCTCCCACGCTACCTCATCCTCTTCAGGAACGACCTTGTTCGTCCCTAGACCGACGACAAACATGTCTGGAAGCAAATCAACCGACGAGATGATTCAGGCTCTCAATGAAATAGCAAATAGAGGGCCCCAACCCTCAGACGCGGCGCAGATCGCGGAGGCAGCGAAGAAACTAGCGCAAATGCAGATCACGATTGACGAGGCGGCGAAAAAGAATTAGAGCCAAATTTGCATACGACTTGGTCAAAACTCCTATACAGAGCAAGACGATGGGCACCCGGCCCTCTGGTTCCTAGCTTGGACTTGAAACATCTGGGAGTCAAGCAATTGCCGGTTATACAAGTATGCGTCATGGCTAGGAAGAATTTGCTCGACATAGTCCCTCACAGCGACTCCGCAACTTTCTTGTCAGGGTCTTCTTGTCAGGGTCCTGTAATTAGCATAATTATGCAGTCAGTTGAAAACCTCTGAAAAAGATCCAAAAAAATTTATTCTTAACATTCATTCGTACCCGAGGACCTTGATCTGCCCTTGGATACGCGATGCGTGCGTGAGGCGCTGAAGTGGGGAGTGATAAGGCGTTCCCTAGTGCCGAAAAAAGAGTTCGGCATAGCTTGAGAATGTTTCTAAAGACTTGAAGGACCAAATCACGATAAAAGCAGAACTTAAGGATAGAAAATCAGGTACGGAACTGTTGGATTACAGCCACCTTATTCACACAATACCCGAGCCGTTCTGGCAGAAGCAATATAGACTGCTAGCGATCAACGGATCAGACACGGCAAAGATATTGCCGCGTAGAGGAGAACACGGGAGCATCACTTTTGAGGCGTAATTGAGCCATGTCGTTCCAAGTGTTGCCATGGTCGGGCGAGCTACAAATGGACAGTCTTGTTGGAACGATGTTACAGGAAAAGGGAACTTGGTGCCCAGCAATGCCACTAAGAGCGTCAGAGAGATTCAACGTCGTGGTCTTGTCTCTACATGGAAGAAGAGATAAGGAATCCAACGAGAAGGGCTAGATGCCTGGATCTCAGACCTATCTATGAGTAACATAAGCGCAACTATAGGATGTACCATTTGTTTCCTATCTGTTCCAATACTCGCTGTATTCTATACCGTCAGACTATGCCTGGTAATCAGGGGCTTTTCGTCGTAATCATCCGAATGTGGTGGTTTGAAGAGGCGGTCGATAGACCAAGGGCATCGTCGTAATATTACCGATCTGAACGATAAGCCGTTGCTGGCGTCTACTTACATCTCCCATCATACGAAGCTCGGGGATTCGGAACCATGGAACTGATGGTACCAGCTGCGGAATGCTGAGCATATCAATGAGGGCGTCGTTGTGCCGGCCTTGGCCTGGGCATACCATTGGTAGTGTGGTACCAAAACACAGCACTTCATCACTGCGGTGGCGCCGAGATACCGTACATACCGAGCACGCTGGTGTAGATTCCATGTCGTCGTGATGTCGGGCCTGTCGGTCTTCGCCGACTCTGTGATGCCGTATGTGCCGCAGAGGGGTCTGACGTCGTCGAGAGGGTCTTCCTAGGGGTCAACAGAGGTTCATCACTACCTGCCACGTCTCGTCGTGACGGCTTCTGATAAGGATGATGTCTAGTGTTAAGGTAGAGAACGCAGATTTTTCATTGATATGTAGAGCAAGAAACGGGATTAGATTTGCCATTCAGGTTCCAGAATCGCCCTTTCTGGTCGCCATATTTCGCAACCGATGAGTGACCCCTTACTACGTACACGATTAGCGCTGATCTATTGATACAAGTTCATGCTGTTCAAAAACAGAGTTCAGTCGTAACAGAAGGCGCCTGGCAATAATCCAGAAGGGGGTGGGGGGTGTCACACATTCAGAAACACATGCTCACCAAGCTGCATTTCCACCGCCCTGGCCCGGGCCACCTGAGTACCAATCTACAAATCTCAGCGAGAATCTATTTCTCTTTCCCTAGTTGTACTAGAAGTAACGGAGTCATGCGAGGCTCCAGAGGATGACTTCAGAC